GGAGGTCTCAGAACAAGCCTGGATACTTCAAAATAGTTTTAGAAGGTCTCCGAACAGGCCTGGATATTTAAAAATAGCTTTAGGAGGTCTCAGAACAGGCCTGGATATTTAAAAGCAGTTTAACAGGTCTCAGAATAGGCCTGTATATTTAAATATCGTTTTAGGAAGTCTCAGAACAGGCCTGGATATTTAAAAAAAGTTTTAGGATGTCTCCGGATAGGCCTGGACATTTAAAAATAGTTTTATGAGGTCTCAGAACAGGCCTGGATATTTAAAAGAAGTTTTAGGAGCTCTCAGAACAGGCCTGGATATTTAAAAATAGTGTTAGGAGGTCTCCGAACAGGCCTGGTTATTTTAAAAATAGTTTTAGGAGGTCTCCGAACAGGCCTGGATATTTCAAAATAGTGTTAGGAGGTTTCAGAACAGGCCTGGATATTTAGAAATAGTTTAAGGAAGTCTTAGAACAGGACTGGATATTTAAAAATAGTGTTAGGAGGTTTCAGAACAGGCCTGGATATTTAGAAATAGTTTAAGGAAGTCTTAGAACAGGCCTGGATATTTAAAAATAGTGTTAGGAGGTCTCAGAACAGGTCTGGTCCTTTAGGAGGTTTCAAAACAGGTATGGCTATTTCGAAATAGTTTTATGTGGTTTCAAAACAGGTTTGAATATTTCAAAATAGTTTTAGGAGGTCTCAGAACAGGACTGGATATTTAAAAGAACCTGGATATTTGAAAATAGTTTCAGGAGTGTTAGGAGGATTCAGAACAGGCCTGGATATTTAAAAATAGCTTTAGGAGGTCTCAGAAAAGGCCTGAATATTTCAAAATAGTTTTAGGAGGTCTCCGAATAGGCCTGAATATTTCAAAATAGTTTTATGAGGTCTGAGAACAGGCCTTGATATTTAAAAATAGTTTTAGGAGGTCTCGGAACAGCTCTGGATATTTCAAACAAGTTTTAGGAGGTCTCACAACAGGCCTGGATATTTCAAAATAGTCTTAGGCGGCCTCAGAACAGGCTTTAGGAGGTCTCAGAACAGACCTGAATATTTAAAAATTGTTTTAGGAGGTCTCAGAACAGGTGAGATTTTTTTAAAAATAGTTTTGGTAGGTCTGACAATATTCGAATGTTTTTTCCAATTTTCCGATGCATTCGGGAAGAAAACCTCGTAGGGACCTCGCAGAATCTAATTTTATTCTGTTTCTCTATCATTTCCAGTGTGAAGATTCCGGCGAATTGAAACCCTATTACTATGATTTGGAGGAAAGCTGCCATGAACATTTCACCAAGGGTCCATGTTCAACACCGGGCCACCTGTTTTTACCCGGCGGTGTTTGTGATTGTCATCGTGGTCTGCCGCACTATCACGAAGACTATCACATGTGTTATGAATTAAGTAAAAAAATCGGACAACGATTTTCAAAAAATACAAAACTTAACCCAAAATCTATTCTTTTCAGATACCCCCGGACCATGTCCACCGGGTAATATTTTCACCGTTCCCGAAAACATCACCATTGGTGATGGTGAGGAGGATCAGAATAATTATTACAACCCCATTAGGGCCACCAGAGCCCAGTGCCAGTGCAAAGAAGGTTATGTACCCTGGTCGGATGGTTTCTGTTATCGCCTGTATACCCGAGGCCCTTGCGGCCAAAATGAATTCCTCATCAATGCCACAACCTGCGTAGAGAATTTCTGTGGTAAAAATCGCCTCTACTTCCCCGATCAAAATCAATGCTATCGCATTGGTTCTCAGGGCCCCTGTGATCTACATCAAGTGGTGGTGTTCGATTTTACCGCCCGTCCCTCGGTCGATGGCATTTCGTACAATGGAATGTGTGGCTGTACGGGAATTCTAATGAATTTGGATCAACAATGTTCGACGCCATCGGAACCCATGACAAATACTTGTGAATCGACACCGGGTATGGTGGAGTTGGAGGGTAATTGTTATAAACTCTATACAAGGGGACCATGTGGCCCAGGGCAATGGTTGGAACCTGTTAAGACGGCAGCGGGTGGTGATGCGGCTAGACGTATTGAAAATAAAGCGAAATGTGTTTGTCGACCAGGGTATACGGCGATTGAGAGGACGAGGGAGGATAATACGACCGCGATCGGCAGTATAGAACGTTGTAATGCTCCGACAGTGGGTTTGGCAAGGTATTTAAATGAAAATGCGCTCCAGCAGAGGCAAAATTCGAAATTTCCCATAACACTGATTTCAACTAATTTTCCGAATCTGTAAATATTTTCCTACTACCGAGGAGGGGCGGAGTCAATGATTTTTTAAAAAAACATTTAGATCCCTAAATTTAAAATATTTTTAGGAGGCCTCAGAACGGACTGGGATATTTCAAAATTGTATATTTAAAAATAGTTTTAAGAGGTCTCAGAACAGGCCTGGATATTTAAAAATAGTTTTAGGAGGCCTCAGAACAGGTCTGGATATTTAAAAATAGTATTAGGAGGTCTCAGAACAGATCTGGATATTTAGAAATAGTTTATGGAGGTCTCAGAACAGGCCTGGATATTTAAAAATAATTTTCGGAGATCTCCGAACAGGCCTGGATATTTCAAAATAGTTTTAGGAGGCCTTCGAACAGGCCTGAATATTAAAAAATAGTTTTAGGCGATCTCCGAACAGGCCTGGATATTTAAAAATTATTTTAAGAGGTCTCAGAACAGGTATGAATATTAAAAATTGTTTTAGGAGGTCTCCGAACAGGCCTGGATATTTAAAATTTGTTTTAGGAGGTCTCCGAACAGGCCTGGATATTTAAAAACAGTTTTAGGAGGTCTCCGAACATGCCTGGATATTTCAAAATAGTTTTAGGAGGTCTCAGAACAGGTCTGGATGTTTAGAAATAGTTTTAGGAGGTCTCCGAACAGGCCTGGATATTTAAAAATAGCTTAAGGAGGTCTCCGAACAGGCCTGGATATTTAAAAATTGTTTTAGGAGGTCTCCGAACAGGCCTGGATATTTAAAAACAGTTTTAGGAGGTCTCCGAACAGGCCTGGATATTTAAAAATAGTTTTAGGAGGTCTCAGAACAGGCCTGGATATTTAAAATATGTTTTGGGAGGTCTCAGAACAGGCCTGGATATTTAAAAACAGTGCTAGGAGGTCTCAGAACAGGTCTGGATATTTCAAAATAGTTTTAGGAGGTCTCAGAATAGGCCTGAATATTTAAAATATGTTTTGGGAGGTCTCAGAACAGGCCTGGATATTTAAAACAGTCTTAGGAGATCTCCGAAAAGGCCAGGTTATTTAAAAATAGGGAGGTCTCAGAACAGGCCTGGATATTTCAAAATGGATATTTAAAGGAGGTCTCATAACAGGCCTGGAGGTCTCAGAACAGGTCTGGATATTTAGAAATAGTTTTAGGAGGTCTCAAAACAGGCCTGAATATTTAAAAACAGTTTTAGGAGGTCTCCGAAAAGGCCAGGTTATTTAAAAATAGCTTTAGGAGGTCTCAGAACAGGCCTGGATATTTCAAAATAATCTTAGGAGGTCATAAAACAGTCCTGGATATTTAAAAATAGTGCTAGGAGGTCTCAGAACGTGCCTGGATATTTCAAAATTATTTTAGGAGGTCTCGGAACAGGTCTGGATATTTCAAAATAATTTTAGGAGGTCTCCGAACAGGCCTGGATATTTAAAAACTGTTTTAGTAGGTCTCAGAACATGCCTAGATAATCAAAAATAGATTTGGGATGTCTCAGAACAGGCCTGAATATTTCAAAATAGTTTTAGGAGGTCTCAGAACAGGCCTGGATATTTCAAAATAGGTCTCAAAACCGATTGGGATATTTTAAAATTATTTTAGGTGTCAGAACGGAAGAGGATTTTTAATCAATATTTTAGGAGACCTCAGAATAGACTAAGATATTTTTTAATATTTTTAGAAGGCCTCAGAACTGGACTGGGACATTTTAAAAGGTTTTTAGGTGACCTCAAAATATTTTAGGACGTCTCAAACGGCCTGAATTTTGTAAAAATTATTTGAGGAGGTCATAGAGTAGGTCAAGGTCTGTTTTAAAAATATTTTTAAGGCGCATCTTTATTTTTTGACCCATAAAAAAATCTAATCTGACTCGTTTCTCCTACTAAACTGAAAATAAAAAACCCCTTTTGTACAAAATCTCTGCATGCTGCTGCTTGATAAATTGTGATTATCTCTTACCTATTCTTGCCTTACCTACCCACCTACCTAATTTTGTATCTCTTTGCATGATTTTTCCTTCAAAAGGGAATCCCTATTCCTATTTTTTGTATATATCTATGTATGTATTCTGTTATACCCTCTATGCTGTGTTCTTCTGTGTTATCCTATCTTTGTTGTTGAAAATGTTTGAAATTTTAATTTAAATTCAATTTTATTTCAATTTTTTATAGATGGTTTTTAGAAATATTTGGCTAAGAAAAAATCTCACTCTCAGAGCCTCATCAAGACTATTCAGGCAAAATATTGTCAATTTTGTTTGTATCGAATTGTTTTTTAGACATTTTAAGTGCGCTAATTTAAGTATTTTTAGGTTAAGATTTTTTAATTTAAGTTTGTGCCATTATTTAATAGAAAAAATAAAAAATCGGAACTAAAAATAAAAAAATCGGCTTTATTTTTTTAGGGCTCAAACTAGGCTTGGATTTTATAGAAAATATTTTAAGAGGACTCCTGAACGGCCTGAATTTTTAAAAATAGTTTTTAGAGGTCTCATAACAGGCCTTGGAGATCTTATAAAAAACTTGGTCAGGAACGTAAAGACTTCATAAAGCCTCCTGCAGGTATATCTGGTACATACACGAATATTATCATGAGATCGATTACGAACAAATTCACAATTAAGACACTCAACATTATCACTGTTTTGAAACTTCCAGCTCGCATGTTCGGCATAATGATTACGCATAAATTCACAATTAAGACTCTCAACATTATCACTGAATGGATTATTCAGGCTCGCAGGTTCCGCATTCCAATATATATTGAACTTACCTTAATTTCTCTTCCAATTCGCTGACCTGTTTCTCCAGAGCATTACGTTTTTCCTTCGATGCTTTCAGTTCATATTCCAGTTGATAGACTTTTTCCGTTTTGGCATCTAACTGAGTCTGTAATTAAAAACCGGAATAGGAAAATTTGTCGAAAATTCTTGAAATATCGAAAATTTGAGGTTATCCTTATGTGGGAGCTATACCTAAAAATAGGCCGATATGGATAATTTTTGGTAGGGAGCTTTGCCACCCAATAAGAATTCTAAATACCAAATTACAGCCAATTCGGTTGGACAATCTATACAAACTCCTCAAAATATCGAAAATTTTAGGTTATCTTTATATGGGAGCAATGTCGAAAGGTGGACCAAAATGGACAATTTTTGGTAGGAGGATTTGTTACCCAATGAGAATCCGAAATATTAAATTACAGCCAATTCGGTGGGAAAATCTGTCCAAAATCCTCAAAATATCGAAAATTTGAGCTTATCCTTATATGGGGGCCATACCTAAAATTAGACCGATATGGATAATTTTTGGTAGGGAGCTTTGCCACCCAATAAGAATTCAAAATATCAAATAACAGCCAATTCGGTTGGAAAATGTATAAAAACCCTCAAAATATCGTAAATTTGAGGTTATTCTTATATGGGAGCTATACCTAAAAGTAGGCCGATATTTATAATTTTTGGTGGAGAGTTTTGATACTCAATGAGAACCCGAAATATCAAATTACAGCCAATTCGGTTGGAAATTATATCCAAAACCTTCAAAATATCGACAATTTGAGGTTATACTTATATGGGAGCTATACCTAATAGTAGACCGATATGGATAATATTTGGTGGAGAGTTTTGCTACACAATGAGAATCCGAAATTATAAATTATAGACAATTCGGTTGGAAAATATGTCCAAAATATCGAAAATTGGAGGGTACCCTTATATGGGGCCTATGCCAAAAGGTTGACCAAAATGGATAATTTTTTGGTGGAGAGATTTGCCACCCAAAAATAATTCAAAATACCAAATTATAGCCATTTCGATTGGAAAATGTACCCAAAATCCTCAAAATATGAAAAAATCGGCAGTTCCTTTATATGGTGGCTATGTCGAAACGTGTACCGATATAAATAATTTTTGGTAGAGAGCTTTCCTACCCAAAAAGAACCCAAAATATAAAATTACAGCCAATTCCGATAGAAAAAAGTGAAAAATCGGCAAAATATCGAAAATTTGAGGCTATTTTTATGTGGGGGACTATACGTAAAAGTGGACCAATATTGATAATTTTTAGTAGGGACCTTCCCTATCCAAAGAGAACCCAAAATATTAAATTTAAGCCGATTCGGTTGGAAAATGTGTCAAAAGCGACGAAAATTAGAATTAGGTTATATGGGAGCTATATCCGATAATGGACCAATATCGATAATTTTTTGTATGGACCTTGGCTATCCAATGAGAACCCTAAATAAAATATTACAAGCAATTCCCTTGGAAAATTAGTATAAAATCCTCAAAATCCCGAAAATCGGAATATACCCTTATATGGGGTAAAATGTCCCGATATTGCTTATTTTGGAATATGACCTTCCCATAGACAAAATACACTTTGGCACAAAATTTCAGCACCCTATCGCAATTATTTCGGAACGATAGTGGATGGACCTATGGGTGGAGGGGGTCTAAAAAAACAAAAGCAATTTTAAATACCCACCAATATTTTATCCTTTTCATTTTCCAAAGCCGCATAGGTCTGTTTCAAGACCTTAACTTCACTGCGCAGCTGTAAGGCCTCCTCGCGCACCGAATCCCGATTGGTATCCAGGGTATTGACACGACGATTTGTCGTCTCCAATTGCTGCTCGGCATAAAGCAATTTGTTTTGATAATCTCCCAGGGTGCGTTCGGTTTGTTCGTGGAGAATTCTAGAAGAAAATTAAATTTTGAAAAAAATAAAATCAAAAATAGGGTCCACAATTCCACCTACTTCAATTGATTATAGTTGGACTGCAGTTTATTATTTTCCTCCCGCAATTGAAATTGTTGCTGTTTGTACGCCTCAATTTCCTCCTTGAGCATGATGATTTGTGTTTCGGTGGGCATGCGAGCCGATTGCAGTTCCCGTTTCTCCCTTTCCAATTGCCGTAGACGGCTGTTCAGCTCCTCAAATCGCTCTTGCGTTTTATGCATCTGTTCATCGTGCATTTTCGTGGTGCAGAGCAATTTTTCTCTCAGGGTATCCCGTTCACATTTCAATCTCTCCATTTCGGAGCGGGCACAATCACGTTCCCGTTCTATACGTAAAATTGCCGCTTGGACACAATCACTACTGCTGCTGCCGGAGGTGGCTGTAGATATACCCGATCGTGCCGATGTTGGCAAATTTAAATGATGATGATTTTCAGGATCTTTATAACAGGGTACTAGGGCATTGGGTGCGGTGGTAGAGGGTCTTGTACACAACTCCAGTCTTAGCAACCTCAATTCTTCATCTTTCGATTTAATTTGAGATTGAAGAAATTCAATTTCCTTATCGGAACCGGCCTTACTTAGCAATCGTAGATATTCCTTTTGGAAGAAATCCCGTTCGGATTTGAGGCGGATTTTTTCTTCATCTAAATTTTGAGCATGTTGGGATTCGGTTTCTTTGAATTCTGCGATGAAAATAACATACGTCATTTGAATATTTATCAATAACAACAAACCTGACTTACCCTTTTGAAGTGATTGCAGTTTCGATTTCAGTTTGGTGACCTTCTTCTGCAGGTGTTCATTTTCCATTTTAAGTTCGGTTTCTGAAAATAAAATTTAAAATTTTTTTTTTTTTTAGGATCAAAGCATTTTGTATGTTTGGATTTAGATGTAGATCTTAGGTATAACTTCGTCGGATTTTATGAGCGAAGACCCTAAGTTTGTCCAATTGTCACGAAAATTTGAATAGGGTACTTAATTGATTATAGAATGGTGTGTGTCGAGTTTGATATGAATCGGTTTAGATTTCGATATAGCTCCCATATAAAATGCATTCCGATTTCAGGAAAATGGTGCACCAAAGACCCGATGTTTGTCCGATTGGCGCGGAATTTTGCACAGCCTACCGAATGAGGTCTAGAATCGCTTGAGTTAATTTTGATCAAAATCGGTTCAGATTTCGATATAGCTGACATATAAATATTCGTCCGATTTCCTATAAATTGTGCGTAAAAGGCGTCCGGTTTGTCCGATTGGTATGGAATTTTGCATAGGTTACTGAATTGAGAGTAGGCAGACATGTGTCAAGTTTGGTGCAAATCGGTTTAAATTTCGATATAGCTCCCATATAAATTTTCATCCGATTTTAGGTAGGGGAAGGCCTTTGGTGTGTCCAATTGCCACGAAATTATCCACAGCTTAACGAATGGGGTCTAGAATGATGTGCTTCAAATTTTATTGAAATCGATGCAGATTTCGATATAGCTCCCATATAAATTTCGTTCCGATTTCATGAAAATAGTGCACCAATGTCGCTATGTTTGTCCGATTGGTACGAAATTTTGCATAAAACACCGAATTAAGTCTAGAAAGATATGTGTTAAGTTTGCTGGAAATCGGTTCAGATTTCGATAGAGCACCCATATAAATGTTCGTCCGATTTCGGGAAAATGTTACACCAAAGTCGCTACGTTTGTCCTATTGCCACGAAATTTTGTGTAGGGTACCGAATTAAATCTAGAAAGACATGTGCCTAATTTCCTTCAAATTGGTTCAGATTTCGATATAGCTCCCATATAAAATTTCGTCCGATTTCAGGAAAATAGTGGCCCAGATGTCCTATGTTTGTCCGATTGCCACGAAATTTTGTGTAGGGCACCGAATTAAGTCTAGAAATACATATACCAAGTTTGCTTCAAATCGGTTCAGATTTCGATATAGCTCCCATATAAAATTTCGTCCGATTTCAGGAAAATATTGCCCCAAAGCCTCTATGATTGTCCGATTGCCACAAAATTTTGCACCGCTTACCGAATTGAGTATTGATAGGCATGTGTCAAATTTTATTGAAATCGCTCCCAAATAAAATTTCTTCCGATTTTAATTAAATGGTTCCGCCAAAGGTTCTCACTTACCTCTTTGTGTCAATTCATTGATTTTCTCATTGTATCTATGTTTATTATCCATTGCCATGCCACCGCCGCCATCACCATGTACTGCATGTTTTTGTTTTTTACCATCATCCGGAGCCTTCTTCTCGCCCGGCTTATGTTTACCACCGCCACCCTGCATTTGTTTTAATTGCATTTTCAACATTTCAATTTCATTTTCACGTTGGGATATTTCATTATTGGCTTCGGTTTCAACTAGGAGCGCTGCTTCTTTCAATTCATCCAATTGAGATTGCAAAGAACGATTTGTGTTCTCCAGGTCCAGGGCCCTTTGCATAGCCTCATGCATTTGATCTTGAAACTCTCGCATTCGTGTTAGGCAATCCATTTTTTCACGCTGCAACATATCTAAATCTTCGGTAATATTACCAATATTTTTATAACAGCAATCACGGGCCAGCGCGGCAGGTGGGCGACCTCCGGAGAGGAGATCATTTAGGCGGGATATTTCACGATCGCGGGATTCGATCTAGAAGTAAAAAAATATTTTTTTTTTAATTTTGATAAATAAAAATTGCGAGGTGGTCCTCACCTTCTTTTGGTAGAATTTCAGATTTTCGATTAGGTCCCTATTGGCATTCTCTAATTTTTCCAATTCTTTTTGCTGAGATTTTGTTTGGGTGGCGCCATCATTTTTCTGGTTATAACCCAGCAGATTACATTTGGTACATCTTAAATTGGAATTGTGTTCTTGAAGAGGTTGCAAAGAGGGCAAGGGGTCACCGGAACGCACGGCAGTTATGAAGGGTTTTTTGGCTGGAATTTGAAAAATAAAAATATTTAAATTTGGATATTTTATTTTAACCCATTAGGACCTTTGGTATGCCAATCTACATAAAATCCGAAGAAATTTTGTACTGGAGCTATATCGAAATCTGAATCGATTTATACCAAACTTGGCACATATCTATTTAGACCCAATTTAAACCCCTATGCAATGTTCCGAGCCAATCGAACAAAAGTAGGAACCTTGGAGCTCAATTTACATAAAATCCGACGAAAATTTATACGGAAGCTATATCTAAATATGCACTGATTTATACCAAACGTGGCACATGTCTAGCTGGACTAAATTCAATACCCTATGCAAAATTTCGTGTCAATCGGATAAACCGAGGACTTTTAGAGCTCCATTTACCCAAAATCGGAAGAAATTTAATGGGGGAGCTATATCTAAATCTGCACCGATTTAGATCAAAGTTGGCACAAGTCTATCTAGGGTTAATTTAGTAACCTATACAAAATTTCATCTCAATCGGACAAACGTGGGATCTTTGGTGGACCATTTATATAAAATCGGACGAAAATTTATATGGAAGCTATATCGAAATGTGGACCTATTTCCATCAAAGTTGGGACAAATCATACCAATCCCAATTGGGAATGCTACGTAAAATTTCGTGTCAATCGGCCAGATATAGGACCTTTGGTGGACCATTTATATAAAATCAGACGAAAATTTATATGGAAGCTATATCGAAATGTGGACCGATTTCCATCAAAGTTGGCACAAATCATACCAATCCCAATTGGGAATGCTGCGTAAAGGTCGGGTCAATCGGACAGACACGGAACTTTACGTTGGGCCATTTTTCAAGAAATCCGACGAATATGTGAATGGGAGCTATATCGAAATCTGAACCGATTTAAATCAAATTCAGGCCACATCATTTTAGACTCAATTCAGTAGCCTATACCAAATTTCATGACAATCGGACAATCGTTGGGACCTTTGGTGCACCATTTATATGAAATCCGACGAAATTTTATATGAGAACTATATCGAAATCTGAAGGGAATAAAAGCAAACTTGGCCTACGGTACTCTACACTCAATTCGATATCCTGTGCAAAATTTTGTACAAATCGGACAAACATAAGGCCGTTGGTGCACGATTTACCCGAAATCGAACGGAATTTTATATGGCAGCCATATCAAAATCGGAAACGATTTCAATGAATTTCTGTAGGGTTGATCCTTGGGCCAAATTAATAAGGTGTACCAAATTTCATGGCAATTGCTAAATAAATGCAACCTGTATTCGGTTCACAGAAAGTCATGGACAGTCCACATTGTTGTGTGGTCTTAAAGAGATGACACCTTACCTTTACCCTCCTTGCCATATTTCATATTACCACCTGCTGACGTCGTCGCCGTCCGGTACTGAAGTGTTTGTAATTTTAATTGTTGTTGCAGCTGTTCGACTTGCTGTTGTAAATGAAATTTATCACTTTGTAAATCTCGCACCAGGGTATTGAGTTCTAAAACCAAGAATAAAAAAATATAAACAATTTTTTTTGGATTTTTTTAATTTTCGGAATATCACTTACCTCTTATTTTATCCTCATAGTCCTCCTGCTGTTGCACCGTCTGCATATGCAATTGATTATTTTGCTGTAACAGTCGAGCATTATCACATTTATAGGGTTCAACACCCAACTCCCAACAGGATTTTTCCTTGAAAACACGCAAAAGCATATTTTTGTTCAGTTATGAATGAATGGCGAGCAAATGAAATTTCGTACAAAAGCGGGAGAAGAATAATAACAACAACAACAGAAACTCAAACACAAACTTCCGTTACAAGGTTGTGGCTTGTGTGGTGTAACTTTTCAATGGTGTGTGGTAATGTTATATGGGTCATATATATCGAAGTGATTAACGGAGAGGGGTAAAGAATTATAAAACGTTTATTTTTATATCCACCACCATGACCATAGTATGGAGAAGGGTATATTAATTTTGTCATTTGGGTTATAACACCTTGAAATTATTATTTTGGAACCTATAACGTATTTATATATCCCCGATCGGGGTAAAATTCTAAGAGGCTTTAACCATGCCCGCAAGTCAATATTTTGTAAGCATGATATCATTCAAAAAAAATTGTGATAGTCTGCTGAAATTTTGTACATAGGCTCCTATTGTCTGCCGGAAGTTCAGATTTGAATATGGGCTATATCGATCCACGTTTAGGCATAGGTCCCATATAACCGTAACTTCGATTTGAGGTATTGTGAGGATATTTTTTCATCGAATTCGCTATATCTTGACTATAACACTTCTTAGGAAGTAGGAAATGTCCTTGCAAAAATTGTACATATAGGTCCAGTTTTAGGTATAGCCCCTATATAAGGGAATTTTCATATTTAAGGTATTCTGATTTTCGATATTTGGACATATTTCCATATTATAATTTGATAATTTGGGTTATCATTGGCTAGGAAATCTGTGTACCAAAAATTATGAATATAAGTCCACTTTTAGGTGTAGGCCCCGTATAAAGGTAGATTCCGATTTTCGGTATTTGGGTGAATTTTCCAATCCAATCGGCTATAATTTGATATTTTGTGTTCCCAACCAAAACTGTCCCAACCAAAAATTATCCATATTGGTCCAGTTTTAAGTAAAGCCTCCACATAAGGATAAGTTCCGATTTTTGGTATTTGCACATATTTTCCAACCGAATCGGCAGTAATTTGATATTTTGCGTCCTCGCGTGTTAGAAAATCTCTCTACCCAAAATTATCCATATTGGTCCAAATTTAGATATAGCTTCCATATAAGAGTACCATCCGATGTTCGGTATTAGAGTGCCTTTTCCAAACGAATCGGCTAAAATTTGATATTTTTCATTCGCATGTGGTAGACAATCTCTCTACCAAAAATTATCCGTTTTGGTCCAAAATATAGCCCCCATATAAGAGTACCTTCCGATTTTCGGTATTTGGGTGCACTTTCCAAACGAATTGGATGTAATTTGATATTTTGCGTTCTCATGTGTTCGAAAACCTCTGCACCAAAAATTATCCATATTAGTCCACTTTTAAATATAGCCTCCATATAAGGGTGCTTCCGATATTTGGGGCATATTTTCCAACCGAATCGGCTATAATTTGATACTTTGGAAATCTATTTGAAATCTATGTACCAAAAATTATGAATATTGGTCCACTTTTTGGTATAGGCCCCATAAAAAGGTATATTCCGATTTAAGGTATTTGGGTGTATTTTCCAATCGAATTAGCTGTAATTTGATATTTTGCATTCTCATGTGGTAGAAAACCTCTCTACCAAAAATTGTCCATATTGGGCCACCCTTAGATATAGTTCTCACATAAGGTTACCTTCCGATTTTTGGAATTTCGACATATTTTTCAACAGAATCTGCAGTAGTTTCTGATTAGATGGTTGATTAGCTTCCTACCAAAAATTATACATATCGGCCCAGCTTTAAATATTGGTCCATTTTAAAGGCACCTTCCGATTTTTGTTATTTGAGCACATTTATCAACGGAATTGGCTGTAATTTGATATTATGGATTCGCAATGGGTAACAAATCTATCTACCAAAAATTATCTATATTGGTCCACTTTTAAGTATAGCCTCCACATAAGGTTAAGTTCCGATTTTCGGTATTTGGGCGTATTTTACAACCGAATTAGCTGTAATTTGATATTTTGCATTCTATACAGTAGAAAATCTCCGTACCAAAAATTATCCATATTGGACCACTTTTAGATATAGCTTCCATAAAAAGGTACCTTCCGATTTTCTGTATTTGGGCGTATTTTTTAACCGAATTGGCTGTAATTTGATATTTTGCGTCCTCATGTGTTAGAAAATCTCCCTACCAAAAATTATACATATTGGTCCACTTTTAAGTGTAGCCCCCACATAAGATTAAGTTCCGATTTTCGGTATTTGGGCGTATTTTACAACCGAATTAGCTGTAATTTGAAATTTTGCTTTCTCATACAGTAGAAGATCTCCGTACCAAAAATTATCCATATTGAACCACTTTTAGATATAGCTTCCGATTTTCGGTATTTGGGCGTATTTTTTAACCGAATTGGCTGTAATTTGATATTTTGCGTCCTCATGTGTTAGAAAATCTCCCTACCAAAATTATACATATTGGTCCCCTTTTAAATATAACCCCCATATAAGGGTACCATCCTTCTCATGGGTCACTTTACCTCCGATTTTCAAGGATATTGGACAAGTCTTTCAATCGAATTGTTTGCAATTGGATATTTGTGTTTTTTGGGTATAGCCCTTTTATGATGTTAGTCTCAAAAAATGAAAATTATTTTCAAATTAAAAAATTCGAATATTTCCTACCTTAACCCGTCATAATACCACTGACCCCATACTGTATTTGACAACAACAACAAAACTGACCACTATGAAGTCACCGTGTGTCCTACCTATGTCAATGACACCATGACAACCACTAGCCAGCCCTGTGGCAAGGGAACGGAATGGTCCTTGCAGGACGCAAGTCAAAAATATAATTAAATACACATAAAAGTAAAAAAAATCAGTGATCCCTTACCTCTAATAACTCCATAATTTGTTTTTTCGAATCCCTTAAACTTTCCGTCGTCTTTACCAAATCATCGAAAAGACAACCCACCAAAGGTATAGCAGACAATGGCAGTGTCTGATGATAACCCAAAACATTTAATTTTTGTCTTAAATTATTGAAAACACTATCGGTGGCACTCATTTTTTCACTAATAAAAATCAAACACTGTAAATTCAATTGTAAATACAAAAATCAAAACAAAAAGCAAAACAACCGCGAAACAAAAGCAACAACAATCACATTGACATACATAGGGATCTATACGTTGATTATTGTTCAACGCCGTTAGTCTAGAAAACGATCTGTGAAACCCTATTATAAAGGGGAGATAATGAGTGAGATGATAACACAAGCAATTGTCATTATTGACTGTAATTAATTATAAATTAATGTAAAATATTATAAAATAAATTTATAATTATATATGATAATAAATAAATACTTAAAATAATAAATAAAAACAACAAAACGCAAAACAAAACCGCCAGCAAACACACAAATAGGGATCTAAAAATAGATTTCCGCCCAACAAAAGGCACAACGCCGTTAGTCTAGAAAACGATCTGTGGAGCCCTATTATAAAGAGAGAAGATAATGAGAGATTATAACACAAGCAATTGTCATTATTGGCTGTAATTACTGTGTTATATTAAACAATAAATTAATAAATATATATGAAATAATTATTAAATTTAATAAAATAATAAATATATAAAATAAAAATATATAAAAAATGGATATTTAATAATAAATAAAATTAACATTCCATTTTCATGTTTAGTGATTACTCAAAGACGTAATGTAAAAAAGAAGACGGCAATCAGCTGTTCTTTTACTTTTAACGTTTCCCATAGCGTCTACAGTTGACAGCACTGTTCAGTGCCGGTTGCTCAGTTCTCCTGAAAAATGCCAAAAATTGTTTGGTGTGTAGGAGATTTCTTCAATTAAACCCTTTTTCCGATTTTCCTAAATAAAAACAATTCTTCCCAAAAACAATGACTGATTACAAAGTATCATCTTCGTCCTCATCGAAACACGGTTCCCAATCTGGCTCCTCGGCCCAAAGTTCATTGCTGGTGGCGAAACCGGCAAATTTACAATGTAAAGATTTCCAAGAATATCTACGTACACGAAGTCCCGATACCTTGGAGAAGCTATACAATTATCCCACAATTTGTTTGGCTGTTTATCGGGAGCTACCAGAAATTGCCCGGCAATTTGTGATACGTATATTGTTTGTGGAGCAGCCAGTGCCACAGGCTGTGGTGGCCTCATGGGGTTCGCAGTATTATGCCAAGTACGAATGGATTTTTCATTGAAATGTTTGGAATTAATCTGTTCATTTTTTACTTCCAGAGAACAACAAATGTCCACAAATATCCTGACGGAGTTGAATGTATGGCGCACCACCACCATACCTGGTGGTCTCTCGGCCTGGGAATTGTGTCCGACGTTTAAAAAGAATTTAAAAATCGCCTTGCTTGGAGGTGGCAAACCCTGGTCCATGTCTCACACCTTGGAAAAAGATTCCAAACCACGTGATATTGCCTTTTTGGATCAGTATGCCATGTCCCGATGGCGTTGTGTGCTCCATTATATGGTGGGCACAGGTGGTGTCAACAAAGGTCCAGGTAGTGAGATTAGCCCCGATGCTGTAAGAATTTTGCTGCATGCCAATCTAATGAAACGTGATGAAACGGGTATAACCATAACGCGACAAGGTTTCCAGTTCCTTTTGTTGGATACCCAGTCACAGGTGTGGCATTTTATGTTAATGTATTTGGATACCTGTGAAGAACGAGGTCTCTCACTGCCGGAATGTTTGAGTATGCTGTTTCAATTGAGTTTCTCCACCTTGGGACGTGATTACAGCTCGGAGGGTATGAATCCGAAAATGTTGGCTTTCCTGCAACATTTGCGAGAATTTGGTTTGGTATTTCAAAGGAAACGTAAAGAGGGTAGATTTTACCCAACGCGCTTGGCATTGAATGTCACCAACAAGGCAGCCACTGTACCGGCCGTGGTATTGGAAGATGAAAAATCCCAAGAGAGTGGTTACATTATTGTCGAAACTAATTATCGCGTGTACGCCTATACAGATTCACCCCTACAAGTGGCCGTTTTGGGTTTATTCACGGAGTTACTATATCGTTTTCCAAATTTGGTGGTCGGAGTGTTGACCCGCGACTCTGTACGCCAAGCTTTACGTGGTGGCATAACAGCAGATCAAATAATCAGCTACTTAGAACAATATTCCCATCCGAATATGAAGTTAACAGAATCGGCAATTAAATCCAAATCTCCCCTACCACCCACAGTTGTTGATCAAATTAAGCTATGGGAAATGGAACGTAATCGTTTCACCTATACCGAGGGTGTAGTCTACAATCAATTTTTGTCACAAGCTGATTTTATTACCTTGCGCGATTATGCCCAATCGATTGGGGTATTGGTGTGGCAAAATGAGCGTACCCGTACAATGGTTGTAACGAAAAATGGCCACGATGATGTACGGCGATTTTGGAAGAAATTCTCCAAAAATGCCAGTTGAAGGAGAGAGGGAGAGAGAAGTTTACGTTGTTTTAAGATTTGTTTAAGGTTTTTTAGAATTAGAAATAAATAAAAAAGGAGAAAAAAGTAAATAAATTTGTTTTCTTTTGAGGAGAGTTTGAAAATAACTCCAATAAGTAAAAAAATGCCGGTTTTTCGTAACCTCCACCATGAGATGTCAACAACAAAGAAATACTTAGGGTCTCTATACGTCGATTTCTGTCCAATGAAAGACACAACGCCGTTAGTCTAGAAAACGATCTATGAAACCCTATTGTGAAGAGATGATGAAGCAACAGCTGTTTTATTTACCGCCAATTATAAACTAATGTAATATATTATTAAATAAATGAATATATATAAAATTATTTATTTCAAAATGTTTAAAATAAATACAAAAACCAAGCTACTGCGAAACAGACAAATAAATAAGGAGCTATACGTCCAATTTTCGCCCAATGAAATACACAACGACGTTAGTCTAGAAAACGATCTATGAACCCCTATTATGAAGAGGGATAATAACAACAGCAATTGTCATAAACCTTAAATTCCCGCCAGCTACAGGTTGAAAGCGTAGCAGATGGAGCCCAAACCAAAGAAAATAAGTTTAAAACTTGAACAAAAATATTTAAAGTGCAATACCACCTAGCCACTAAATCCATAGACTATAGGAAATCAATATAGCCATAAGTAATATTGCGAAATCCGTCAACCTGGCTGATATTAAGCCATGTTTTATGTGGGAAAATATATTTAAGTGCAATATTTATCATAAGGTATATATATATGATGAATAGCTTGTTCGTCTAGTGTGTTTGCGGGGTTTTCAATTAAATTTATACATTATAAACCATGATTGGGAGGGCGAAATGTGGGAGTAGGACATCTATATTCTCTTATCAGGACATACGGGTTTTTATTATTATTTTTATTTGTTAGCTTTAATTTCGTGTTCGCCCTGATGGGCTAGAGATGTGGACAGATTGAGAACGATAGCCCAGAAACCGCTAACTAGCCGTAAGGTCCCCTCTAGCGCCGCTAAATAGGGAAACGTAACAGGTTATTGCGTTTAATTATAAAATAAATTAATAAATATATCTAAAATAATTAAAAAAAATATATAAAACGGTACAGTCCAATGTTCTGCATTTGGAAAATGTAAAACATCCTTTTTCGCGTCTTTTTCGGTATGTTCAAGAGGTCCTATCATAACATGGGTTTTCCCAGGAGCCCCCAATTAATTTTAGATATTTTAAATGTCCAACTTTATGCATTTTTTGTTTGTTTTCTATATATTTTGTAATAGCATTAAGCAATTTTATTACCACATATATATATTTTCGATTATTTTTATAAAAAATGTGTGCATATAAAATTATAAAAAATGGATTATTGATTGGTCTCGTTTGAAGATGTTGTCGTCTATAGGCAAAGAGAAAAAATACACAAACAACAAAAATCATTATTTTTTCAAAACCTATAAAATCCCATGCATCCTTAATAACAATTAGAAGAAAAAAATACAAAATTAATAGTCAAAAAATAAATAACAATTAGATTAATCGTTTTTATATCTTATAAAAAGACGCTCCTCCGATCCAGCACCTTAAAACATAATTGGCCTCTGTGGCATACATAGATTGTAATAACTTTTCTTGTCCCAGAAATCCATGCCCTTCCAGCCACACCAACCTTTCGATTGTATGGTTTGTAAATCATCTTCGCCTGTGTAGTGAGGATCCAAAATAAGGAATTTAATTTGCCCAGTTTGGACATTGTAATCAATGCCAATAATGGTGTGGGCCAGCACACCACCACCAATCATAATGGGTGTTCCCTGGGTCTGGAAATGCATTGCCAAATCGGAGGCCAATGTTGATAATTCACCGCCCGAGCTAACGTGTAGAATTTTCGAGTCGACATTGAGAAAACCCTGTAGACACATGCTGACCTCGGTGGAACCTGAAGGGAAGGAGAAAGAGAATTAAAAAATCTTTGAGAAAATGCCAAAATAAAATTCACCCACCAATCCACTGCGAAGAACCCTTGAAATTCTGTGGCTTATCACCGATTTTTACCAAATATTGTTGTATTTCCAAATGTGTGGGCACAGCACGTTCCGTATAGCCCTGCAGTAGGAACCATGAACATATCGATTGCAACGAACGATAGGCACAACCCCAACCCTTGTCCTGCATCTGTTGTTGCAGATAGTGATAATAACGATAATTACCCTGCACCAAATATTGTTTACCCTCCGGTACACCGCTAGCCTTCAAACCCAAATGGGTATTCAGCAATGGCTCATCACCGGCTATTTCATTACGGAATATACAGACATTGGAACGACGGAAATAGGGTCGTGCCACACTCAAACCAAAATGACGATGTAAACGTTTACGTTTATTTTGCATACTGGCCTCATCATCGGACATACCATCCAGGTAACAGCATGCGATGAAGTGGCCAAATTCCATAGGGAAGAAATTGTAGGTTTTGGGGACTTTCAATAGCTTTCGTTCACCATTCTCCTCCAGATTTTCGCTGATACTTTGTTCACACAAACGCAGCGACCTGCATATACTTTCAATGAGGATATCATACAGTCTGGAGACCTTTGTGGATTTATTCAAAATTGCCATGGATTCCAATTCCAAGGGTATGGCGAATTTTTTCTCAGCCGGCTTTAGGCACATACTCATGGCTGGCAGTGATGGGGTAGTATTTGTAATATTTTCAGCATCATTAAATTCCCGAGTCTTTGAACGCAGTGCCTCAATACTGAGTACATCAAAGTCACAGCCCACAGCTCCATAAATTTGCGATAGCTTAATATCCGCCGCACTGGATTTTTTACTTTTCCTCTCCACCACCGCATTCTCTTTATCCTCCTGATTAAAATGCACAGCAGCCTGCACTGCGGCGATGATATCTTTTATAATCGATTCATTCGTAATTGCACCCGTTGCCGATTTATAACCCGAATAGGCCACACCTTGAGCCCCACCATTAGTGAGAAAGACCTTTGTCGGTTCCACTTTGAAAGCCAAACTTCCACCTGATATGGTTTTCCTTAGCGCATGCATTTCCCTTCGCACAGCCAATGCTGTATCCTCGGCATAAATGGTCCATGAAAATTTCAGCCGGGTAAAACAGAAATCTCTATACAATTGCTCCTCGTCCATTACCTCATAGGGTACCTCTTCCAATTTGCCATGCATTAAAAAGGAGGCCTTCAGTCCCACCAATGTACCCAATTCACAATGCAACAATATGGGATTATCGGTGATGTCAACATCTTTGAAAATTTCGCTCAGATGGGCCTCGGCATCAGAACAGTCACCAAATTTGACCAGACCGCATAGATCAATTTCAGCAGGGAATTTATGTTGGATTTGTTCATAGTTCAGTTGGCCAATGGTGGATTCAACATTGAAACCAAGCAGCAGGAGGGTACCCTCACCATAGAAGACACCAAATAGACAGCCACTGCATTGTTGTTTCACTTGTTCCAAACGCTGGAAATAAACAAAGTTAAACAAAAGCTTACGAATTCCGCTCAGGGCTTACCTTCAACAGCAATGAAGAGATTTTTAATTTTGGCAACATATTTTTCAATGGTTTATTGGGGACTTCGTAAAAAAATATTTTAATGCGTTGGCAAATTACGAAAATCCGTCGTCCCCTACTGTTGTCAATCGATTCAGTGACGTTTGCATTGTGTTGTTGTTGGCTGGTGGCCTAGCCACAATTAAAAACGTTCCACCTGCAACACAAATGGGAGACAAGACAAAATAAACGATAAAGAATGAACTGAAAGCAAAGAAAATGACAATTTACGAATGAGGTGTAAAGCGGTGTTGCGAATGAGGCATGGCGAGAAATGCCGATTAGGGATAACGCAAGTCGGCGATAACGGGCGCACTAGTTCGACTTTCGCCAACCAAATTGAAATCCGTTCCTCCACTTCTACTCTTCTACTCACTCACTTCTACTTCTCTCTTCTACTTTTGACTAGGGATTTCTAGGTCGACTTTTGACTCGTAATGGATGCAGTGACGTTTGCATTATCTGTTGTTAAGAATTTATATCAACTCGAAAAGTCGAATTTTGCGCTCGACTCCATATCCTTAATACGAACACACGACGATAAAACCATGATTCTATTCGATTTACTGTTCGACTGTTAGAATATATCCGTCATGGCTCCAGGCAAATAACGCATCTTAGCAAACCTTCATGTCATTGGGGTCACATCACCTCTCTATTTATCATATTCGAACTTCATAACCTCTAAAAGCCATATTTTACATAACCCTGGGGATGATAATTGGTCAGAGTTCCAAGATTTCACTAATCTTCAATACATATTTTGTCGCTCGCTATATAAGTGCGAATCGAATACCCGAACTAAAGCCAAACATCAGAACAAAGGCAGCGTGATCAACCAATGAGCGTCAGCGAACATATCCGTCATGGCTCAAGGCAAAAAGTGCATCTTGGTAATCTGTCATGCCCTTGGAGTTACACCACCTCTCTCATCATATTCGAACTTCATAACCTCAGAAAGCCATAGGTTTCATAAACATGGGAAACATAATTTGACAGAGTTCAGAGATTTCACAAATGGTGGCTACAGCTCTAGTCGCTCGCTATATAACTTCGAATCGAATACCCGAACTAAAGCCAAACTTCAGAACTAAGGCAGCATGATCAAAAATTCAGCGTCAGCGAACATATCCGTCATGGCTCAAGGCAAATAACGCATCTTAGAAAACCTTCATGTCATTGGGGTCACACCATCTCCGTATAATAATTTTCCAAGATTTCACAAATCGTCGGTACATACACTCGCTATATAACTGCGAACCGTATACCTGAATTAAGACCAAACTTCAGAACAAAGACAGAGCGATCAGCAAATGAGCGTTATGATCTTCGTTGTATAAACTTTACTAGCCCCAGAATCAGATATGTATCTAATGATGAACTTTACTAGAGATGCGCACAAGACAGACGCGGTTGGAAATCTTTTATAAGCACGGCTTATGGAACAACCGTTCTGTAACAAGGAAGGAAAAATTTGACAGATGATGGAGACAAAAAGAAAGGTTGTTGTTGTGATAATCACCTTATTATTACATCATGACACAAGTGGCACATATACTGTCAGCTGTTCATTGGGTTTGGTGGTGTATAGCGCACTTTACAAAAAAAATATGGTGAAAATATCAATATCATCATATTGGCAACACTGTCCTTAACGAAACTGCCATTGTTATCAATATTGACATAGCATCTCGTTTTCGATTGTGTGAACCCTACCTTCCCTTTAACACATGTGACACATATACACAATTGACAGTCAGCTGTTTGATAAATTATGGGATAATTGGAAATAAATGAAAATGGAATGGAAAAAAATATTGTATCCAAAAGAGTTGCCAATCAAGTAGTAACTTCAAAAGCACTATTTGACAACTCAATAATCTACAGAAAATATAACCACAATTGGCAACACTGCGCTTACTGTCATCGTTCGTTTTCTTATTGTTATCGATACTGATAGCCGAGCAGCAGCAGAGAACATCTGTTTGTCAGCAGTAGCAGCAGCAGCGACGCAAATTAAATAGCATTTTTTACAAAGCAAAATTTCAAGGTATTAACAAACAAAAAGAAACAAATTTCAAGTGTTTACCAATAGAAAACGCAACGCGACGACAATTTATTACCAAAAAACCTACAACTCAAAGTATTCCCAGTTCCAAAGTGAGTATAATGGCGAAGTGACGGAAGATTCCACGAAAAAAATATGGACACAAAAACAATGGTGGTGGCGGTGGAGGTGACGCAGGTCGAGAGTGTTCTTGGAAAAAAGAAAAATAAATGACAAATTTGTATACGATGCAGGAGTGAGGGAGGGATGTCGGTAATGTTGCTGCAGCGGGTAGGGGTGCGGGGTTTTGGAACGAACGAAAAAAAAATTGCAAAGAAAAATTATATACAACAACAACAAACAATAAACGCGAAGAGCAGCAGCGGAGAGATAGCCAAGTCAATAACATTGTGAAGAGGAAAAAAGTTTAAACAAAAAACGATTTTGAATTAATTTTTAATTTTATTGTTGTTGTTTTAGAAGATATTTTCACAAAACAAATTATCAGAGGAGAGAAAGCGAGAGTGAGGGGGAAGCTGTAATCTGTGAGTGTTCGAAAGCAGCAGCACCACCAGCATAGTGTGAAGGGGGGTATGCGACTGCTGGTTTACCTTGGATTAAAACACTGACAAGGGACGGACAGACCGACTGACTAGCTGGCTGGCTGGTCATCATCTATAGTATTTATGGTTTTTGTTTGATTATGAATAATTTTTTTCTTTCTTTTTTTCATTGCAGTTCAAACAAAAAGAAAATTTAAGTGATAAACTTTATCTCCTCTCCCCTTCTCCCATCAATAAAAACTCTAGAGCAGTGAAACAAAGGGAGTTGCTTCAAATCTCCAAAAAAGGCAAGGCAGCTGTTTTTCCCGGTTCCCCCGAAATCGTTGAAAGGGAAAATTTGATCGGACTCCTTTTGAACTCCTCCATCCATCCATTCTAAATGTCACATTCTTTGGCCTCCACATCAAATTCACCCCTGGCCACACCCAGCAGTTCAGCTGTACGTGCCTTGGCCCTAGAATATAAATCACTGCAAGAGGAACCCGTGGAGGGATTTCGTGTCAAGCTTGTCAATGAAGATAATCTCTTTGAATGGGAGGTAGCCATATTTGGACCACCGGATACCCTCTATCAGGGTGGTTATTTTAAGGCTCACATGAAATTTCCACCCGACTACCCATATTCACCGCCATCAATACGTTTCCTCACCAAAGTATGGCATCCAAATGTCTATGAAAATGGTGATCTATGTATATCGATATTACATCCACCCGTTGATGATCCACAAAGTGGTGAATTACCCTGTGAACGTTGGAATCCAACACAAAATGTTCGCACCATATTGCTGTCCGTGATTTCATTGCTCAATGAACCAAATACCTATTCACCGGCCAATGTTGATGCCTCGGTAATGTATCGTCGATGGAGAGATTCTCAGGTGAGTAACCGAACACATTCCTATTGTTTGAATAATAATAAAAATAATAAAATCTCCTTTTTTCTTTCTAGGGCAAAGATAATGAATATCCCAATATAATACGTAAACAAGCATTGGCCGCCAATGCCGATGCCATTAAGGAGGGTATTGTTGTGCCCATGACCTTGGAGGATTATTGCATTAAACCCAAACGAAAAGAGAACACAGAACCCACATTAGATTCGAACTTTTTCGATGATGTTTTCGATTTGGAAACCGAAGATGATATGCCAACCGACGATGATGATGACGAGGAGGATGAAGATGATGATGACGATGCAGATAATGGCGATGATAGTGGAAAGGGTGAAACAACATAAATTGCAATTCGGAGGGATTGTAAGTATTTAAACACATGAAATTAAAACCGGTTTTTTTTGGAAAACTAATACAGGAATTTGAAATAAATCAGGATTATTTTATAGAAAAATATCAGGATTTAGGTGTGTAAGGGAAAAAATGCTGACTTTTTTTATTGAAATAATTTTGTAGGAAATATTCATAAAAAATTAGATTTTTTATAAAAAAATGCTGACTTTTTTTATTGAAATAATTTTGTAGGAAATATTCATAAAAAATTAGATTTTTTATAAAAAAATTTTTTACGATTTTTTATACAAAAAAAAGTAAAAAGAAAAAAATTTAAATTAAGATTTTTTTTGGAAAAATTAATAGTTTTTTAGAAAAATTTTAAGAAATAATTTTTTAAGGTAAATATTCTCTATAATTATCCACATTTTTAATCTTAATTTTTTTTAAAAAAAATTATATTTTCAAAAAAAAATTGTTTCAATATAATTTTTTATTTGAAAAAAATTAAAATTTTTTTTATTGAAAAAAATTAAAAATGAAAAAAATTAAATTTTTTTGTTTAAAAATGAAAAAAAAATAATTTTTTTTTTTTGAAAAAAAAAATTGAAAAAAATTAAATTTTTTTTATTTGAAAAAAAAAATTAGGATTTAAAATTAGGAAATTAGGATTATGTTTTTTTTTTAAATTAAGATAATTTTTTATAATCAGTTTTACAGAAAAAAAATCGGATAATTAATAATAGAGATTTTTTTTTTTAATTTAAATTTTTCTAATAAGTTTTTTAGGAGAAAATTAGGATTTTTTCTTAATTCAAAATTTTTTTTTGAAAAAAATAATTTTTTTAAGAAAAATTAAATAAAAATATCCTACTACCAGATTTTTTTAGATTTTTTTTTCATTTTTTTTAAAAAAAATAGGATATTTTTATGCTAAAAAATAATAAATTAAAATATGTAAATGTAAAAATATATATAAATGCAATGAGAAATTAAAAAAAATGTTTAATTCAATTTTTTTCCTTTCAGGAATTCCTCGCCATTTTTTTGGGGTGTTTCTTGCGATGAAAGAAGAGAGCAAACATCTGGGTTTTTTCCTCGTCTTCACAATAGTTTTAAAAGAAAAACAAAAACAACAAAAAAGCAAACAACAACAACTCATTACATTTAAAAAACATTTTTTGAGTATTTTGTAATTTAATTTTTAATTTATTATTGTTTTTTATTTTCTAATTTTTTTGCTTATTATTTTTTTTTTTTAATTTTAAAATTTTCTCCTTTTTGACAAATCTCAGCTACAAACAAAATTATCGTTTAATAAAAATGTAAAAGAAAATACAACAACAACAACAATTTATTTAACTTTTTCTCCTATCTACAATAAAAACAAAAAAAAAAACTGTTATCTCTTTATATGTATACTATATTACATATATACATGCAACATATGAAGAAGAAAAAATATCAAATAGCTTAAACTCATCAATACGAAAAAAAAAAACAAAAAATAAAAAACAAAGATTTTAAAGCCAAATAGTAACATGAAAAAAAAATACCAACAACACCAACATATTGTTGACCAGGTTATATAGAAACAAATTTGCCATATTTTTTCCCCAATTTTTTTTTATAAATTTTTTCAAAAAAATATAACATATTTTTACTTATATGCTTTAATTAAAAATAATTTAAATTCTTTGCAATTTAGTTTAAAACTTTTTTTTTGATATAAGATTAATCATGATTATAAGTTTTTTTTTTAATATTTTTTCTATATATTGGATTAAATATTATTTTTTTTTAATTTACAAAAACTTTTTCTCATCGTTTTTTTTTTCTCATCATAACCTCACAAAATAAAAAGAACTCAATTTTTTCTAGAATCCTCTTCAAAAAAAAAGAAGAAAAATCAAATAAATAAAAAATCCAATTCATTGCAAAATCCAATCTCGTGTACGTAATCTTGAAACATAAAAATCGAACCATAATTTCTTGCAAATATATTTTTAATAATTGAATGAAATAATAATAATAAAAAACCCGATACACAAACCAATAACAACAACAACAAAAAATCTTTAATTTTAAGACGTTTAATTATAATGAGTACTATAACAGAAAATAATAATAAAAAAACACATTATCGTATAAGTAAAAAATAAATCGTAAATAATAATAATAAAAACAATATAATTTCATTACAAACTCTCATACATATATATACTCCTAGAAATTATGGGCTTTTCTTTCATCTTTTTGAAAAAAAAAAAATTTTTTTTGGTGGGCAAAAAATGTCTCCCTTGAGAAAATCGCAACTCTTAAGGGTGCAGGGTTCAAGTTGTTAATTGTCTTCTTAAGGAAGTCCGAAGTCTCCTTAGTGCGATCAACATCAACAACCTTGACTACTTTGTATAATGAGGTCAGGCCAAAGTGTAGGCTCTGTCGATCAACCTCGTCGGATAGGAAGAGGTCCTTCATATGTCCACTGTCGACCAGCAACCATTTATCCTCGCTGATGAACCCGTCAGGGTCAGCTTGGTCAATAATTGCTACTCGCAGATCTTCCGCAACCCCTTTTAGATCAGCATCGTTGTAGGTGTCTGGACTATCTGCTTCGAGACAACGTACTTGGCTTTCACCACGCAATCACCGCTCTTGGCTGGTTTCTCCTTAGACGCTGCAACCGACGCAAACGAATCAGAGCTTTGTACAGCCGATGACTGCATGAGTCTCTTTGCAGCTGGTTGTTGTTCCTCCGAGGACCTCATTCTCTTGACAGCCGTGGGCTGCGGCCGAGATTTGACAGCCGGGGTTGCAACCGCTGCAGAGATATACCCAGCCGACGAAGGCACCTGCTTCGCGCTCGCTACCTTCGGCGCATCCACTAGCAACTGCCCAATTGTCACAGCCTTGGTTATCGGCTTTGGCAATTCGACAGATGGTGGATTGACAGAGGGTGGTTGTGTCTTATCGGTCTGCTGATGTCTGGGTCTTCTCAGTAATCAGTTACCCTTGGGGGGTATTGAAGGCTTACAAGTCTCAGGCATCAGCTTCCTGGATGTACTAGAGCCCCCCAAACAGGTTTCTCCTTCTTTAAAGGTACTACCGTGGTGGTCTTAGTACTGGTTCGGGGGGATCCTATCAATCAAGAAGTCACTCTCAATATCATCAGGATAGTTCCTGGAGAACTTTCGGATAAATTTGAGGTTCCTCTTGATAAAAAAGGAACTCCTTTCCCGCGATGGAGTCGCTGTCCCGTCCGACGTATCGCTTACAGTAGTTAACTGTTCTCCGGTACATCTTCTTGGCAGCGATCTCCTTGGCATTGACTTGCCTAGCAGATACTGGAACTGATGAATCATCCATCTTATCGACGGGGTTCTCATCAGTGTCCGTTTCGACAGTATCCGTTTCGACAGCCAATTGCCTGAGTAGTCTCGCGATATCACTACAGGTCGTGGAGATTGAGTGCATATCTTCAACCTCGCCAGGGTTTATTTGCCTAGTCAGCAACTGGGAGGACTCTCCTTGCTTCGGAGGAGACGTAGTGCCGTAGTCACCGTAGTTTCCATGATGTCTTCCTCGTCCGACAAGGGCGAGTCATCCCAGAGCTGATTCGGGATGCTCTCCTGATTGAGGAAAATATCCGATTGCCTCTCCAGGATTTCGTTAACGTCGTCGAGAGTTGAACAAGAGGCAAAAGAGAGGTCAAAAGAATTTGGTTGAAAACGCCTTCAAGAAGCCCAAAATCCCGAAATTGGGGGTACCCCTATATGGGGGCTATCCGAAAAAATGGACCTATATTTATAATTTTTAATAGGGAAATTTGCTACCCAACAAGAACTCGATGTACTAAATTACAGCCAATGCGGTCGAAAAATACGATCAGAACCCCCAAAATACCGAAAATATGGGGACTACCAGAAAAATTGGACCTATATTTATAATTTTTAGTGGAGTAATTTGGTACCCAATAATAACCCACTGTAAAAAATTTCAGCAAATTCAGTTATAAAACGCGCTCAAGTACTCCAAAATACCGAAAATCGGGCATACCCTTATAAGGGGGCTATCCGAAAAAATTTACCTATATTTAGAATTTTTAATAGGGAGATTTGCTACCAAATAAAAACTCAATGTACCAAATTTCAGCGAATTCGGTCGAAAAATACGATCAGAACCCCCAAAATACCGAAAATTTGGGGGGTACCGTTATATGGGGACTACCAGAAAAAGTGGACCCACATTTATAATTTTTAGTAGGGGTATTTTCTATCCAATAAGAACTCAAAATACCAAATTTCAGCGAATTCAGTTGAAAAACGCACTCAAGAACCTCAAAATACCGCAAAATGGGGGGACCCTTATATGGGAGCTATGCCTAACCGTGGACCGATGTAGCCCATCTTCGAACTTGACCTACCTGCAGACCAAATTTTTTTCCTGTAAAAAAATTGAATTTATTTTTTATAACATTTTTTTTTCTAAAAAAATTCAATTTTTTTTATAAAAATGTTACATTTTTTATAAATTATTTTTTTGTAAAAAATAATATTTAAAAAAAATTCAATTTTTATACAAAATTGTGACTTTTGAAAAACTTTGAATTTTTATTTTTGGAAAAAAAAATAAATTTTGTGTTGTGTTTTAGAAAAAAATAAAGTTTTTGTACTGAAAACAGAAAAATGTGCTTGTTTTGGAAAAAAATCTGAAATCATTTTTTTTTAATCTAATTTTTTTAAGGAAAAAAACTTTTTAAAAAAATAATTTTTTTAGGAAAAAAATCGAAATTTTTTTAAAAAAATCGAAATTTTTAAAATTTTTTTTTAAATCTATTTTTTTAAAAAAATCTATTTAAATAAAAAGAAATCTATTTTTTAGAAAAAAATCTATTTTTTTAGGAAAAAATTTTAACTGTTAAAAAAAATTCAGTAAAATTTAATTTTTTTTTCTATAATAATTTTAAATTTTTTGTAAAAAAAAACAATTTTTTTATAAAAATTTCAATTTCAGTAAATTTTTTTTTAGAAAAATTTTAACTGATAAACTAGGTTTATAAATTTTAAAAAACTAGTTTATTTCATTGCATTATTTTCTATTTTTTTTTAATTTGTTTTTTATTTTTCTCGCTTAACCTTTTCACACATTGATTTATAACAGCCTAAAAGTATGCTTTGAATTTTAGAGATGTTGTTTTTGATTTGTTGAAAAGGTGGGATTTTTGAATTCTCATAGTTGGGGGGAGGTGAATATTTGGTCTATTGGCCAAAATTATTTAATTTTATTTCAGGAGGCGATTTTGAAAATTTCACAAAATCATGGTAAGTTTTGAAAGGAGTGTGTCCCTCTATGCTCTGATTGAATTTTCCAAATGGCCTTACCTTAAAAAGGGAATCAAAAAATTAAATTGATTTTTTATTAATTAGTTTTTTTATTTATTATAATTTGGTTTCAAACATTATTTTTTTATATAAATGTATATGTTGTAGATAATATTGGAGAGGGTGTTGGTAATCAGGCAGAATAATTTTCTTCAAAAAAAAAAAAAATTCATTACAAAATATAACTCGCAAAAGAAAAACAATAATTTTTTCTTATAACTAAAAAAGGGGGAAGTGGGGAGGGGGGAGTAGAAGTAATAAAAAAATGAGAAATCTGTGAGAAACTTAAAAATATCACGATATATATTTAGATAAGTTTATAAGGTTAATTTTTTTGGATACTGTAACGCAAATGTCAAGAGGAATTTCTCTTTACATAGCATCAAAATGGAAACGATGGGCCTCTTGTAATTTCTCCTGTTTATCTTCGCGTTTCTCTTTGATGTATAAAACTAAAATAATTAAAACAATAACAAGGCATGTACCACCCAGGGCCACAACGCTCATAACAATAAGTTTACTGGGTGTTACAAAGAGCTGGGCCTTCCAGCGCTGAGGATCATTGACCGGTTTCGGGACGACAATAATTTGTGAATTTGGTATGAGTTGGGTCCATGTTCGAGACATATGACCCAGGCCCACGGTAAGGGAATCGACAAAATTAGGTGTACGACCTAAACCGAAAATCGTATAGGGTAGTTGTAGAGCGAAATACGAGGATTGTGGTAATTGTACGGAGGAACCACGTTGTAAATCACCATCTTGAGTGGTGGTGAAATAGGTTATACGAGGCCCCGGCAAATTAGTACCATAGGTACGTCGTTTTCGGCCCAAGGGGGTGTGTAATGTGGGATTTTTACTATTGATAAGGCCGGTGAGGACAATCACTTTCACAAAATTGGCATCATAGTCCAGAGTGTTGCGGAAGGCCAAGGGTTTATATTGTCCCTTTTTGTTTTTCTCAATGAGAATTATGTCCAGAACACCTGAAAGGGTAAAAGAGGAATTAGAATTTTTTTTTTCGAATTTTATTGCCACAAAACTTACCATCCTGATAGAAATCGTAAAAAGCTCCCGCCACTGTATCATTACCCATGGGATTCAAGGCATTCCATTTCACCTCAAATGTCCTCTTCAGGGGAGAATTACACATCAAACACGGCACATTTTCCAATAGGAAAGTTTGCATTCTCTTCGTAGGACCCGTTAGGGTTTGCAGGGTCATAATCAAATCAGGATAACCATCCATATTAAAATCTCCAGTACGTGCGGTAATCGTTTTGAGGTAAACATCCGATTCAATTGGTGGCACAAAACCCCACATCACTGCCTGCGGATCTTTAAAATTAACATGGATATCACGGAAATTCGTGCCATCATGCACGAGTATGGTCGAGTTCGAACAATCTTTACTGTGGAAACAAACGGGCAAAATAATATTCTCCACGCCCTCCAATTCGAAATCCGCAAACACTGCCTGACCCAAGGTATAATCAGATCCGACAATATATATATCAATCGTATGATTAAATATGAAATCCTCGTCGGGACGGCCATACCACACTTCATAATGATTTTGGGGGGTTTGGACAAAAAGATCCGCCGTGAAGTCACCATTTAAATCCAAGTAAGCATTGGCATTGGGTATACTTATCGATGGCTTAGAGGTGGCAGTTTGTGTTGGTACAGCCTGGGTCACCTCTTGAGGTGGCACACGGGCCTTACCAAAAATCCAAAATTTCCGTTCACCCATATCATTGAGGCCATACAAATCAATGATCATATCATGATTATAATCCAAGGCCAAGGGTTCACCCATTGTTTTCAACAACGGTTCGGCATGTTCACTCGTGCAATTGAGGCCTTCGGGACCACCCCAATGGACATATATTTTATAAATTTTATCCGTACTACCTTCAGGCTTAATGGCCACAGCCACATCCATTAGGGCATCACCGTCAAAATCGCCTGGGATAACGCTGACAATTTCATGATCACGATACATGCAGATGGGACCACCACGTAACAGGGGTTCAGTATCAGCACCTAAGGAAATATATTTTTTTATTATTTAAATTATAATAAATAAAAAAGTTCGGTCCTGCCGAACTTTTTAAAACCTCTACCATGAGGTAGATCAGCACTCAGATGTGGGGGCTGCCGGGGAAAAACGAAATATCAAGCTACAGACACCCAATTGGGAAAATTGGACCATAAAAATTCTCGATATACCGAAAATTTGCAGGTAGCGGTATATGGGACCTACACCTAGAAGTGGACCGATGTGGATAATTTTTGGCTGGGAGATTTTCTATCCAAAAAGAATTCAAAATATTAAGATTATAACCGATTCATTTGGAAAATGTGTCAAAAATCGTTGGAATTTTGAAATTTTGAGTTTAGCCTATATGGACCTACACCTAGAAGTGGATCGATGTGGATAATTTTTGGCAGGAAGATTTTCTATCCAAAAAGTATTCAAAATACCAAAAGTATATATATGGGACCTACACCTAGAAGTGGATCGATGTGGATAATTTTTGGCAGGAAGATTTTCTATCCAAAAAGTATTCAAAATACCAAAAGTATAACCGATTCGTTTGGAAAATGTGTCCAAAATCCATAGAATTCAGAAAATTTGAGGTTAGAGTTGTGTGTGGGCTATACCTAAAAGTACATCCAAATTTTTAATTTTTGGTAGGAAGATTTTCTACCCGGGCAGAATCTAAAATATTAAATTACAGCCAATTCGATTGGAAAATAAGTCCAATATCCATAGAATTCAGAAAATTTGAGGTTAGAGTTGTATGGGGGTTATACCTAAAAGTGGTCCGATGGGGATAAATTTTGGCAAGAAGATTTGACACCACATGAGTACTCAAAATACCAAATTACAGCCAATACGATTGGAAAATGAGTCCGAAATCCTTGAAAAACGAAAATTTGAGGTTATGCTTATATAGGGTCTATACCTAAAAGTGTATCAAAATTTATAATTTTTGGTAGAGATATTTGTTAGCGAATCAGAATCCAAAATATCGAATTGCAGCTAATTCTTTTGGAAATTGTATCCAAATCCATGAAATTCTGAAAATTTGAGATTATGCTTATATGGTAGCTATGCCTAAAAGTGGACTAATATTGATCATTTTTGGTGAAATGATTTGATACCCAATGAGAACGCGAAATACGAAATAACAACCAAATCGGTTGAAAAATGTGTGGAAAATCGACAATATTGGGGGTACCGTTATAAGGGGGCTATACTAAAATGTGGACCGATATTGTTAGTTTTTATTTTGACAGCCAATGTGAACACAAAATATCAAATTACAGCCAAATCGGTTGAAGTGTCGAAAAAATCCAGATTTTTGAGGGTACCGTTATATGGCGGCTATACCAGAACATGGACTGATATTAATCATTTTTGCTGAGATAATTTAACACCCAATGAGAACCGAAAATATCAAATTACAGCCAATTTGATTGAAAAGTTGGCCAAAAAAATCACAAAAATCGATATTTGACAAGTTCGGTTATGTGGGAGCTTTACCACAAAGTGGACCGTTGTATTCCATTTTCCATATTGAACATCCTAGGAGTGGTAGAAATGTATGTGCAAAATTTAAAAACTCTAGCTTAAATTTGAAGAGCTTTCTATCGCGATTTCAACAGTCGGGCGACAGTCAGACTCATCTCATTGCGGAGATTATAAAAATTTCAATTCCAATTGTTTACCAACCATATAAAATTTGCAAGGTTTGACTGCGATCCCTTATTATGAACACATCCGTCAGCTCATCCGAATTGAAGTCACCAAATGCTGCCACAATACCTAGAAGAGAAGACAAGAGGTTACAACAAATTGGAAAAATTAAAAAAAAATCCACCTACCCTCTTGGACATTTCCAAAAACCTGAGGAGTAATATCATTGGCATGGACTATACCCACAATAATCAGCAAAATGATTAAAACCCTTTTCAGATTAATAAACATGTTCGTTCTTGTTTGTTTGCTTCTGCTTTATAGGGAAAATCTATTATTCATTTTTTCTTCTTCTGCTTTGCCACAGAGAAATTTGTATTTCTTTCGGGGGATTTTGTTTGGTTTTGCTCCAGCAAATACCAATTATATTACAATTACTGTTGTTGTAGAATATGTTTTTCGTAATATTGGGTAATTATTTTTCAATATTTTCCACTAAATCTATAAAAAAAATATTCGATAAAAACTAAATTTTCTTTTTTTAACACAGAAATGAGTCAATATATACGAAAGATGAAAGAGAAAACAACAATGGAGAGCAGAGCAGCAGCTGTCACAGAGTTGTAGTTGACAGATGGCAGGTAAATGTCAACGTAACGGCGAATGGGTACAATGATGGCAAATGGCGTCACAGCTGTTTTTGCCGTTACGCCGTTGGACGTTAGAAAAAGGAAAATTAAATTAAATATAAAAGAAAATTATATATTTTAATGGTTTTTCGTGGCTGAATAAAATTAAAACTTTTCTGAATAGGATTTTGGGTTTGAAGAGAGGAGATTTTTAATATTCAGCATGATTTATTTTGTTAAAAAAATAACACTAACAAGAATTTAAGACAATTTACCTTGGCTGAATACAATATTGACATTGCTGAATAGCATTTTCAATAGCTGAATTGTAAAGTAATTATATTCTGTAATTATAGTGAAATTTTAGACAATTTCTCTAAGCTGAATATACATTTTCCTTCGCTGAATAACATTTTCCATAGCTGAATTACGAATTTTATTAGCGGAATAGCATCATGAAACCATAAAGTAATTAAATTGTGCTGAAATTTATAAATTTATCAATTTGCTGCATAAAGTAATTAAATTTTGTAATTTTCAATAGCTGAATTATGAATTTTATTAGCTGAAAAGCATTTTAAAACCATAAAGTAATTAAATTTTGTAATTTTAGTAAAAATTAAGTCAAATTATTTTTTGAATTTCATTAGCTGAATAGCATTATAAAACCATAAAGTAATTAAATTTTGTAATTTTAGTGAAATTTACGGCAAAAGGTCTAAGTTGAATATAATTTTTTTTGCTGAATAACAGTTTCATTAGATGAATTGTAAATTTGCTCGGCTGAATGACAATATCTTGTAAACATCTAATAAAATATTATGTTTTTAGAAAAAATTACAACAGTTTTTCCGTGATGAATACATTTTAAACCTAGCTGAATAGAATTTATAAAACCATAAAGTAATTAAATTTTGTAATTTTAGTGAAATTTACGGCAAAAGGTCTAATTTGAATATAATTTTATTATAATAAATTATTTATATAATAAATCATTTGCTGAATAGCATTTTTAGTGGCTGAATTAAAATATTTGGCCAATTAAAATAGACCATTTATTATAATTTCTTCTGAATAATAATTCTGTGAAGTTTTTTCAATAAAACTTTTGTATTAGCATATATTCAGCAACAATAAAACTTTGCTGAATTGCAGTTATCTTCATAAAAATTATATTTATTATTTAGTTTGTCGATTTGGGGATTCTAAAAATTTATTTTCTGCTATTCAGCAAAATTTTTTTTGCAATTAAAATCATTGAATTTACTAGAATATTATTCACTTATTCTTTTTTATATCTAATTTTGATGAAATGGATTGCGAAAATTATATTCAGCTAAGAAAAACTTTGCTGAATTGTGGTTATGTCATAAAAATTTTATTTTTATTAATTTTTTCATTAGATTGTGACTTTAAGAAATTATATTTATCGATTTTTGAGATTCTAGCAACTTGTTTTCTGCTATTCAGCAAAGAAAAATTTTGCTGAATTCCATTATTTGCAATTAAAATCATTGAATTTATTAGAATATCATTCACTTCTTAGTTTTTAAATATTATTTTGATAAAATAACTTGCGAAAATTATATTCAGCTAAGGAAAACTTTGCTGAATTGTGGTTATTTTCATAAAAAAAATATTATTATTAATTTATTCATTACATTGTAATTTTTAAAAATTATATTTATCGATTTTGAAATTCTAGGAAAACATTTCCTGCTATTCAGAAACAAAATTTGCTGAATTCCAATATTTGCAATTAACATCTTTGAATTTATTAGAGTATAATTCCCTTATTCATTTTTTAATATTATTTTGATAAAACAACTTGTGGAAATTATATTCAGATTTTCTGAATTGTGGTAATTCTTAATGGCATTCAGAAACCAATTTTATCAATTTTGGGATTCTAGGAGCATGATTTTAGCTATTCAGCTTCAAAATTTTAGCTATTGAAAATTTTAAATACGGTCAAATTTTATTCAATTAATTAATTTATATTTAAAATCAGCTGATTAAATTTGAAAGTAAACATTTTAAAGCTCTCAGTAAACCATATGTCAAAATTACGCTCTTCTTCTTCACTATCTCCCTCTCATTTATTCTATTTTAAAATTATCCCAAATTAAATACTTTTTTTTAATTTTTATTATTATTTTTGTTTTAACAACCCCAACTACTGTGCCTCATTGAATAACGCATTTTCATTAGTGCGCTCTCTCATTGAAGAACGCCTTTGCGTTAGGTCGCTCTCATTGTGGCCAGCCGCCAATCAGCTGTTGAATCAAAACAAAACGTTTAAAAACGTGCAAGACAGAGACTGCATTTAATTTTTAACATTTTTATTAAGAAAAACAATAATTAATAAACTAATTAATAAAATATGATATATAATTTAAATTACCTTTGTAATTTCAATGACCAGGTGAAGGAGGAGGGTAAGTAGATGCCGTGGGAATACCCAAAACAAAACTCAAAATTTCTTTACCCAATTTCAGACTTGGAAAGTGATTCATTGCGTCGTGTTTGGTCCGGTAAATGGTGTAGTGGAAAATTTGAAGACTCCCTAAAGCAGTGGTGGTCATTGCAGGAACAATGTGAGGTATTCCTTTGCTTGGCCATAGAATCGTTGTTGGCTTTTTTGCAACAAAATTTCACCGGCCCCTTTTGTGAATTGGCGGAATTGGAGGGTTTGGTCAAGGAGATCCAACCCTTGGTGGGTGATGCCTTCGAGGAGCTGAAAGAAAATGGCGAAGAAATCAATCCCAATGTGGTATTGGGTGAATTTTTACTACTGAGCAGAGGTATTTTGCGGAAATTATTGGAACTTCAACCCGATTCCATAGTTCTACACTGGTGGCATCTGCGTTACCTGTGTACCCATCAACACATTATCGATGAATTGACGGCCAACCTTTATGAGAAATTGAAACAGGAAGCGGAATGGTTACTACAACATGTTACGGACCTGGGCAATAAGGAGTTTGAGGCTCTGTTATATTTGGAGGTGGCAAATGCCTATTTACAATATCATCGTGGTGAGAGGGCAGGAGAAATTCTTGATAAGCTTTGTGAACATTTGAATGTTAAAATGGTCGTTGAGGGTCTATTGGGTGTACGCACGAAGTTCCAACAAAAAGCATTGCCTCAGCTGTGTCTGAAAGTAGAACAAACACATGTGGATTTACTGCCCAAGGCCCAGGAAACAAATAGCAAAACTGTTCTACCAAAATTGCTATTGCATGAGGATGATACGCGGCTGGAGCGGATACGTTTTATTGAGGAAAAGGACAATGAAGTTATGACACTGCCATGTGTTCTCCAGGCCCTGGTACTGTCGAAGGTGTAAGTACAACTTATCTTCGGGTAAAACATTTTTTCTATTTTTTCTTTATTTGAAAATTTTTTTCTATACCGGAAAAAAATTTCCACCGTATTTTTTTTCTATGCCGGAAAAAAATGTTCATTGAATTTTTTTCTATGCCGGAAAAAAATTTTCATTGAATTTTTTTCTATGCCGGAAAAAATTTTTCATTGAATTTTTTTCTATGCGGGAAAAAAATTTTCACCGAATTTTTTTCTATGCGCGAATAAAATTTTCACCGAATTTTTTTCTATGCGCGAATAAAATTTTCACCGAATTCTTCAATGCGCGAAAAAAATTTTCACCGAATTCTTTTCAATGCGCGAACAAAATTTTCACCGAATTCTTTTCAATGCGCGAAAAAAATGTTCACCGAATTTTTTTCTATGCGGGAAAAAAATGTTCACCGAATTTTTTTCTATGCGGGAAAAAAATGTTCACCGATTTTTTTTCTATGCGGGAAAAAAATGTTCACCGAATTTTTTTCTATGCGGGAAAAAAATGTTCACCGAATTTTTTTCTATGCGGGAAAAAAATGTTCACCGAATTTTTTTCTATGCGGGAAAAAAATGTTCACCGAATTTTTTTCTATGCGGGAAAAAAATGTTCACCGATTTTTTTTCTATGCGGGAAAAAAATGTTCACCGATTTTTTTTCTATGCGGGAAAAAATTTTCACCTAATTTTTTTTATGCGAAAAAATATTTCCGAATTTTTTCAATTCTAATTTTTTTTCAATGATCGGAAACCTTCTTCCTTGATTAATGACAGAACATTTTTCTTTCAGCCGCCAATTGAAACGTACCCAACCAAAAGATCGTCTGGCCGATGAAGAACTGGAACCCTATACGCACACCTTAATCTACCAGGAACATGGTCCTTTGCAAGTCCGTCAATCAGCTCTCCTATTGAATTGTGTACAAGAATCCAATTCCCGACGTACCGTCGAACGTAGTTGGAAACAATGTGAGGAGTGTGTTAAACTCCTGTCTGAACATTCCTATAGCGTACAAGAAAGATTCTCCTATGCCTTTGCCGGATTCCTACAACCCAAATGGGAAGTTCAGATACAACTTTGCGAACTTCTACTCTCGCTCGGTATGACCAAGACGGCCTTGGATATTTATTTGAAAATTCAGGCATGGGAGCAAGTTATCTATTGTTATACCCGTCTGGAACTGCGACACAAAGCTGCCGAAATCATCGAACAGGAACTCAAGAAGAAGCCAACAGTTCTACTCTATTGTCTGCTCGGAGATGCCACCGATAATTTGGAGTGCTACGAAAAGGCCTGGGAATTTTCCAAACATACCAGTGGTAAGGCCCAGGCTCATTGGGGCAACTACTACTTCTTCCATAAACGTTATGAGGAAGCTATTCCGCATTTGGAAAAATCCGTCGAAATTAATTCGCTGCAAGAAAAAATCTGGTTGCGTTTGGGCTATGCCGCCATAATGTTAGAAAAATGGGAGCTGGCCGTCCATGCCTACATTACCTATACTCATTTGGAACCCTTAGGTTTTGAGTCATGGAATAATTTGGCCAAGGCTCTCATCAAACTTGGTGATAAACAACGGGCCCATCGCGTCCTGGGGGAATCCCTGAAATGCAACTACCACAACTGGAAGGTATGGGAAAATTTCATGGTTGTCTCTGTCGACACGGGGAACTTTGAGGATGCCATGAATGCCTATAATCGTTTGTCGGAATTGAAAACCCACTATTTGGATTTGGAGGTTCTCTGTGTTACCATGACAGCCATCGCCGAAGGTAAACCCGATGCCAAAGGCCAATCACCCGAAAGATTATTGAAAAAAGCCACCACCCTGATGGGTCATCAATGTGTCAAACACGGTTCCGAACCCAAGGTATGGGAATTGGCTGCTCTGCTAGCCACAACACCTTTAAAGAAAGCGGAAAAATTGGTTAAAGCATTTAGGGCCTACACCGCCAAGGAATTGGTATGGGCCACCAAACAACCATTTGCCCGCAAAGCTTTGGAATTGTGTGTAGAATTATCGCAAAGATCTTTAGAGGCAATGGACAATCATGCAGAGGATGAAAGTGAGGTTATGATCACATCGCAATTGAATTCTGCCCGCTTGGCGGATCAGGCCTGCATACGAGCCATTGAAAAGGAACCAACGAAATTTCCCGAAAATGATGATTTGCTTGAGAAGGTTCGAGCATTGCTTGAGGAAATGACCTCACATGTTAAGCAGCGGATGGGGGCGTGATGAGTTAAAAATAAATGATTTTTTTTTATAAATAAAAGGGTAAAAATTTGAAAATGGGGGAAAAGTTGAAAATTATGCGGCACTAAAGAATGTAGTGAAACATTAAATCGAAACAGAGGAGTATAGAAGAAAAGGTAATAATTTGGAAAATAATTAATTTCTGTTCTCAATAAAAATTAAAAAAAAAAATCTCTAGACCCCGATACACCCAAAATTTTAGGTAACGAACTAAAGTCTCACCAAGAATAAATAGCTAAGGGTACCAGGGGTTTTTGTAGAAGATTTAAAGGACCAAAACTCCATTTTCTTTTTTTAATTTTTATTATTTTATTTAAAAAAAAATTACGACTAATATAAATTAAGTTTCGTTGTCACCAATACCCTAACACTTTGATCAAACGCCCCGCACACGGCCAGACCCATTTTATCGGGATGCCAATCGAAACAGTGAACCGGTTGTGTTGATATTGTTGAGGCATTTAGCATATCCAGTGAACCCACCACCCCAACGTTATAACCATCTGTCGGATCTTCCTTCACACGTTTCTCGGGATATTGATAATTCCAGAGACGCAATGACCCCGTACCGCCACATGTTACAAATATATCACGATTTTGGGGTAAATGTCGGACACACCACACCGTTGCCTTAGGGCCTGTTATAACACCATTTGAGCCGACCGAACGGCCTGCGTTGCGTTCTTCCAAACAGCTGAAACCTTTGGTGGGATGTTGTGTACGCATATCATAAACCAAGAGGCCTCCCTCCAGTGTGGTCACAACCATTTTATTCATGGCGATATCACGACGATCAAATTCAATACCGCAAATGCCATTTTTCAGGCTAGTTTCCCAACGTACGGATACTTGGCGTAAATCGAAGAGCTTCAGATCACCATTATCATAACCGGCTGCCACACAACGTTCTTCATTGTTATAGCTGTCGCCAAATGCCACTGCCCAGCAGTCACGTTTGGGGGAGGTATTTGGTGTCGATGTGGAGGTGACATCTGTTTCCGGTGTCATATCAACAACGGGGGCCATACCCTGACGTATATCCCAAACTTTCACCGAACCATCACGGCTGCCGGTGACAATTTCCGGGGCTCCACAATTCAACTGTTTACCGCCAATGGCATCAATGCAGTTGATAATGCTCGAATGGGCCTCCACATTGTAGACGGGGATGTCGGGACGTTCCAGGTCCCTTTAAATTAATGAATAATAATTAGGAGGGTAATTAAAAATTAGATATCAGACTTACAAAACCTGTAATCTCCCCTGAAAATCTCCAATGGCCATGTGCCGATTCCTTAGCGAGGCAGCACCAAAACTGCCACACTTAAAGGCCGATTTCTTTTCAATTGTCTTCACCTTTTCCAATTTGTTTTCATTCAGTTCGTATATCTCCAAAATACCCTGGCCATTGGGTTTGGAGCCCAACACCGCAAACTTCGCGGAACATGGTATCCATTTGGTATCGTAGACAGTATAGTTCACCGATTGCTGTAAATGTTCGATCATTTGGGGTTTATCCATTTTTTTTCTCAAGGGGAAATGGCTCCAATGGGTCTAGAGGGTCCTCTGAGGTCGGTGAAAATTTTCTGGAATGTTTTTTCTCTTTCGATTTGTTTTGAAAATGTTTGATCGATGGCCTACTGGTTGTTTATGCCGGGTAGCCAGGCAACGAGACATCACAAAGCTAATGAGGGTAGGAAATAACGGCGTTGCAGCGGGTCGGTAAGGGAAAGGTAGAATGTGAGCGGGCTGAAGATCAGGAATCAAAACAAAAGTTCTGATATATAAAGAAAATGAAAAGGAATTAAAGAAATCACAAAAAAAGAATGGGAAACAGCTGATTGCAAAGATGGGTGCAAATTTGTTATGGACGTGTGGCAACTGTCACTGGAATTAAAAAATCTAATAGAAAGGGTTTCGAATATGAAAATATGGATAGAAATGGACCAAAGCAGTGGTCCAGAGGTAGCCTCATCTGCAAAAATCAATATTAGCAACCCTTGGACTCTGAGGAGCTGAAGGGCTGGGAGTCTTTATAGGCGAACGGAAGGCTAGGGAGACTTTATAGACGAACTGAAGTCCATGTAGTCTTTATAGGCGAACTGAGGGTCACGAAGACTTTATAGGCGAACCAGGGAGTCTTTATAAGCGAACTGAAGGCCAGGGAGTCTTCATAGACGAGCTGAAGGCCAGTGAGTCTTTATAGCTAAACTGAAGGTCAGGGTGTCTTTATAGGAGAACTGAAGACCAGGAAGTGTTTATAAGCGAACTGAAGCCCAGGGAGTCTTTATATACGAGCTGAGGTCCAGGTAGTCTTTATAGACTCACTGAAGGCCAGTGAGTCTTTATAGGCGTCTTGAAGGCCAGGAAGTGATTATAGGCCAGCTGAAGGCCAGGGAGTCTTTATAGGCGGACGGAAGACCAGAGAGTCTTTATAGGCGAGCTGAAGGCCAGAGAGTCTTTATAGGAGATCTGAAGACCAGATAGTCTTTGTAGACGGGTTGATGGCAAGGGAGTCTATATAGGCGAGCTTACAGGCAGGAAGTCTTTTTAGTCGAACTGAAGGCCAGGGAGTCTTTATAGGCGAACTGTAGGCCAGGGAGTTGATTTAGACGAGCTGAAGGCCAATTAGTCTTTGTAGACGAACTGAAGGTCACGAATTTAAATAAGAAAAAAATTAATTCAGCAAACATTTTCTTTGCTGAATAGTGGAAATAAAACTCCTAAAGACCTTTAATTGATAAACATCGTTTCGAAAACTAATTAAACGATGGAAAACTTAATAAAAATTGAATTTTAATTAAGAAATGTGCAATTCAGCAACTTTTTTCTTTGCTGAATACATGTTACACACATGATTTTAATAAAATAATAATAAAAAATTTAATATGAGGAAAAAATTCTAATAAATTAACAATTTTTAATTGGAAAATTTGCAATTCAGCAAAATTTTTTCTATGCTGAATAGTCGAAATAGTCGAAAATCGATACAAATCAATTCTCAAAGTATTTTTAAAATTGAAAATTTATTAAAAATGATTTTTTAATGAACATAAACCTAATTCAGCAAAATTTTCCTTTGCTGAATTGATGATAACACAATAAATTTCATAAAGCAACCCCATAAACTTGATAAGATTAAGAAATTCTACTAATTTAGCAATTTTCAAAAGCAAAAAAATTGAATTCAGCTAAATATGTCTTTGCTGAATAGCCCAAGAAAATATTCTATGGCCCTAAAATTGATAAATATTGTTTCATTGTGTTATTAATGGTTGAAAAATTTGACGAAAATCAGATTTCTATGAAGAAAAGTACTATTCAGCAAAATTTTTCTTTGCTGAATATATGTTACACACATAATTTTAATAAAATAACCCTGAAAAATCATTTTTGAAGGAAACTTTTAATTAAATAACAATTTAAAATTAAGAAAAATGCAATTCAGCAAAATTTTTCTTAGCTGAATAGGGAAGAATGGCTTCCAAGAATTATAAAATCAATAAAAATCATTGCTTATAGCAATATTATGATGAAACAATTTATAAAAATCAAATTATTGTGATACTAAACAGAATTCAGCAAAATTTTTATTTGCTGAATAGGTGAAAAAATATTCTCTTGATGCCAAAATCTGTAAATATAGTTTTCTAAAGTGATCATATTATACAAACATTATCGAAAATTAAATTTCTATGAAAATAATCCCAATTCAGCAAAATTTTTCTTTACTGAATTCACAATGAAATCATGATTTCTTCACAATTAACATCCTAAACTAATATTATAAAGATTTTTATTTCATTTCAAATTTCCTCTAATTAAATCCCCATTTAAATCACTCTGCTTCGTGAATCAATTTTAAGCTTTTTAAAACGCTCAATTGATAACACTGGCTAGTTGTTTTTCATTTGGCCAGCTGTTGTTTCTCCCACACTCTCGCACACACAATCTGTCAATTTTTATTTTGTGTTAGTGAGAGAGAGACATTGTTGGCCTCTGCCAGTCTTCTATTTTTTCGCGAAACAATCGGTTGTTTTTGTTCTCATCACGGATAGTTTATTTTCGGTTAAAAAATTTATCAAATAAAAAAAGAATAACCTTGAAAATAGAATAATAATAATAAAAAAAGAAAAGTACGTTTTTAGTGAAAGTTTTAAGTATTAAAAAAACGAAAATTGTTGAAAAGAAAATAAAAAATAGTTCCTAACACCTTTCATAACAATTCCTGTTCTGTTGTGCCCCATCATTTCTTCGTTTTATTTTTGTTATTACTTTATTTCTGTTAATTGCGTGTTTTTGTTGTTGTTTCATTCTAATATTCCCTATGCTATGCCGCCTCTGACAGTTTTATTTCCGTCGCTTGGTCTATTCACCCCAAAACAGAAAACAAACGAAACAAACCATGCCCAATCCCGATAGTATTGAAAAAATCACCAAACGGTCAAGTCGTCAGTTTTACTAACAAAAATAAAAACAACGGTATGTTGTGTTGTCGGTGGTCGTCCGTTTTGCTAGTTGTCAAAGGCAACAATGAGAGGGAGTGTGTGTGTGTGACAAAGTATGTGAGAGGGATTAAGACCGTAAGAGAGTAGTGTGTGTGTATGTTTGATGGATGGAAGTGCGTGCGTTAATTAGGCACAGACGTAAATGTAACGTAACCGTAACGCATAATTTGATTTATTAAATATTAAATTATCAAAATATATAAAATATAATAAAAATATAAAATATAAAATAAAATTAAAAAAATATAAAATAAGAAATGAAAAATAATCAAAAAATACAAATTTAAGATAAAAAAAATATTTTTCAAAAACAAAAAAACTTATTTAAATCATATTTTAACGAAGAAATGTGCAATTCAGCCGCCTTTTTTCTTTGCTGAATTGATGATAATACAAAAATTATAATAAAATAAGCCTTAAAACCTGATAAGAGGAAGAAAATCCAAGAAATTATTAAATTTGTATAAGAAAAAATTAAATTCAGCAAAATGTTTCTTTGCTGAATAGTGGAAATAGAATTCCTAGAGTTACAAAATTGATAAATATCGCTTCTAAAAGTAATTAAACGACAGAAAACTCAATAAAAATCTAATTTTAATGAACATATATGCAATTCAGCAACTTTTATTCTTTGCTGAATTGATGATAATACAAAAATTATTATAAAATAAGCCTAAAAACCTGATAAGAGGAAGAAATTCTAATAAATGATAACATTTTAAAAGTAAAAATTTGAATTCAGCAAAATTTTTCTTTGCTGAGTAGTGGAAATAGAATTCTTAGAGTTCTAAAATTAATATCACTTCTAAAAGTAATAACATGATGACAAATGTAATAAAAATTAATTTTTTACGAAGATTACCCTAATTCAGCAACTTTTTTCTTTGCTGAATTGATGATAACACAATAAGTTTAATAAAATAACCCTAACAGCTTAATAATACGAAGAAATTCTTATCAATTCACAATTTTCAATAAGGAAAAATTACAATTCAGCAGCAAATTTGCTGAATAACATAAAATGCATTATTAAAGAACTGAAATCAATAAAAATCATTTCTAAATGCTATTAAATGATCAATGACCCAATAAAAATGCAATTTCCATAAGAAAATCCTCCATTCATGTTTTCTTTGCTGAATTGATGTAAAAATTTTCTAAAAATGTATAATCATTAAAAATCAATTCTAAATTCAATTAAGCTGTGAAAAATTATTAAAAAGTTATATTCTAACACGAAATTTACAATTCAGTAAACATTTTTGCAATTCAGCAAATTTTTCCTCAGCTGAATAACATAAAATACGTTACTAAAGACCTGAAATCAATAAAAATCATTTCTAAATGTAATTAAATTATCGATGGTCCAATAAAAATGCAATTTCTATAGGAAATTTCTCCATTCAGCAAAAAATTTTGTTTGCTGAATTGCTGCAAAAAGTTTCTAAAAAGACTATAATCAATAAAAATCAATTCTAAATGCAATAAAGCTGTGAAAAATTATTAAAATCTTATATTCTAACACAAAACTCACAATTCAGCAAATTTCTCTTCAGCTGTATAACACCAAATTCGTTACTAAATGTCTGAAATCAATAAAAATCATGTCTAAAGGTAATTAAATTATTAATTCTCCAATAAAAATTCAATTTATATAGGAATAACATCAATTCAGCAAATATTTTTCGTTGCTGAATTGTTGAAAAATCAAATTTTTAAATGCTATAATCAAAATATTATAATATTGTTATATATAATGACAATTAAACTATGATAATATATTTAAAAGTTATTTCCTAACACGAAAATCGCAATTCAGCAAATTTCTCCTCAGCTGAATAACATAAAATTCCTTACTAAAAGTCTGAAATCAATAAGAATCATATCTAAAGTTAATTAAATTATCAATGCCCCAATAAAAATGAAATTTCCATAGAAAATTTTTCAATTCAGCAAAATTTTTTGTTTGCTGAATAACACAAAATTCGTTACTAAAGACCTGAAATCAATAAA